TCCGAAAGGCTTCAGCAGGAACTTCAGCCAAGACTAAGTCCACAGTAAATTTTATCGAATCGTTAATTATTCTGCAAATTGTCCAACAAATTTATGTCTTAAGTTTAAAGTTGAAAATTAATTAAATGATTCCCTAAAATGTCTACTTCTTTAATAATAAAGTTCGTGTTGATTAGGTTTGAAAATTAATTAGATAATTCCCTAAAATGTTTACTTTTTTATTTATAAAGTTTGTGTTGAATTGGTTTGAATTAAAATAAGGGTTTTTAAATTATAGCTTTTCATCAAAGTCGAATTGCCAAATCTTGTCTCGGATGAAGGGATTAGAGAAGATCTACGCACCTTGACCTACGTAAGAAAATGTGTAGAGCTGTGTTGGTATATGTGTATGCAGGATCCGCCTATGGTTATCATCAGCCCCGAGAGAGGACAAGAAATCGACAAGGGGTTGTTTTCCCTCCATGGCCGCCGCGGGAAGACTGTGGAAGTCTGTGTGTGGCCTGCTCTTCTGCTTCACGATGGCGGGCCGCTGGTGTGTAAGGGATACGTCCTACCAGAGGAGAGGAAACGAAAGAAATAAGAAAGAAATCCTATTTTATGAGTGTATTTTCATTAATGTTTGGAATTAATTATGACTGTTAGGTAATAGCATTTTATGACTGATCATAAAGATGAACAATAAACATATCGCTTTAAGAGTGAATACCTATTATTATGTATATATTGAATGTTATAATTCTGTTGAATTTGTACAATGATTACAAAAAGAATTGAATTTAAAAAAAACAAATGCTTTTTAATAAAAATTAAATGCTTATTCATATATATTACTAACTTCTTAGAAAATTTTGCATATGCGTTTGAGCAATTTTTTTTCTCACTTTGCATGAATGTTTGTTTCTCTCTAAACGTTGATCGTTAATATAAGTGAACATGAAAAAATGTTTAGAAATTTTTTTTTTATAAATCTGATGAAATACTTTTTTCATAAAGTGCCATATTTTAAAAACAAAAGATAACTGATGTTATCGTGACCAATAAATTTCATTTTGAAACACTGTTTATTTAAATTATTTGAAGTAAAAGAAGATCATAATGAGACTTCGTACATCCAGGAAGTGAAGTGAATTGTTAACCCTGCAAATGGATCTATATGAGAATGTTTAACCTATTCCAGAAATAAAGAACATCGAAAAACGAGCTGATTAGTTAAAATTTTTCTTTAATGATTTGAACAATAGGTATAAATACGAGGAATTTCTTTTTATTTCATTGAATGGAATTTATTTGGAAAAGAATTGCATCGTAAACGAGAAAAACAAGTATGTGTTCGTTAGTTAAAGAAGTAGAAAAAAATGCATTTTATAAGCTATCAGATATGAAAAAATGTATTTAAGCATTATATATATATACAAGATAATGATAGCACACTTTGGATTATATCTGCCATGAATTTAGTGGCATATTTTAAAAATCTTCTTCTCAAGAACTAAGGTACCAGGAAAGATGAAACTTATGGAGAAACATCCTCAGTTAGTGTAGATTCAAGTTTGTTCAAATCATGACCCTCGGGGGTAGGGCGGGGCCAAAATGGCCGACCAAAGTTTTATATAGAAATATATCGGAAAATTCTTTAAAAATCTTCTCAAGAATGTCAAAGCCATAATTCATCATATTTTTATGGGAGCATGCTCAGGTAGTGTAGATTCAAGTTTGTTCAAATCATGACCCCCAAGATAGGGCGGGGCCAAAATGGCCGACCAAGTTTTACATAGAAATATATAGGAAAACTCTTTAAAAATCTTCTTTTTAAGAATGACAAAGCCATAATTCATCATATTTATATGAAAGCATGTTCAGGTAGTGTAGATTCAAATTTGTTCAAATCATGACCCCCGGGGGTAGAGCGGGGCCAAAATGGCTGACCAAAGTTTTACATAGAAATATATAGGAAAAGTCTTTAAAAATCTTCTTCTCAAGAATGACAAAGCCATAATTCATCACATATATATATATATATGAAAGCATGCTCAGGTAGTGTAGTTTCAAGTTTGTTCAAATCATGACCCCCTGGGGTAGGGCAGGGCCAAAATGGCCGACCAAAGTTTTACATAAAAATATATAGGAAAATTCTTCAAACATCTTCTTCTCAAGAATGACAAAGCCATAATTCATCATATTTATATGGAAGCATGCTCAAGTAGTGTAGATTCAAGTTTGTTCAAATTATGACCCCCAGGGGTAGGGCGGGGCCAAAATGGCTGACCAAAGTTTTTAAAGATATATATAAGAAAATTCTTTAAAAATCATTTTCTAAAAAATAGCAAATCCATGATTGGTCATGGGACTACTTTTGGATTTAAACTTACTTTACAATAAAAAGCCATTTTCTAATTTTTCCTACCCTTAGTGCTCAGGTGAGCGATGTGGCCCATGGGCCTCTTGTTGTGTATTTGAAGAGTAAAACTAGGCACAAAAATATTGGTATTGTCCCTAAGTATGGCATCATTATTTATATTCGTATCATACTTTGAAATTTTAGGGGAGGGGTTGTACACATGTAAGTCTCACTTAAATCCACCAGTGTATATTTTGTATTAATTTATCGGGGAAGTGTTATTCTTCGACAAGAAAATTTATCTTTTATGGTGTATAAGAATTGGCTTGTATTTAAAGTACTGTTATTCATCACACCTACTAAGTGCACATTGTCATGTTGACAAACTGACTTAAGCATGTTAAGTATCCAGTCTGGTAATCTGATTTTAAATACTATTTGGTCCTAAAATGGCGAGCGAAGTGAGCCAAAAAATTTTTTGAATTGAAGACTTTTGAGATTAAATTACACGTAAATAAAAAAGGTATTTTTCACAATATTTAAATATCATAATTCAAGGTCAGATTATTTATTTTCTCTGTAGTGGAGGAAAGATTATTTATTTTCAATATTTTCAGGGACAGATTATTTATTTCCAAAATCTGCCAGCCCCCCCCCCCCCCTCAGAATCAAATGGTCGTCCCCTAAGTCAACAGACTGACATTTTCGATCGAAGAATTAATTTTGTCCTAATAAGCAAATGTAATTTTATATATATAAAAACCCATTAAAATTAAGTGTTTCATTGTTTATCTTTTTTGTTACACAGGTATTCGATATCAAGATGTCCACAAGTCAAGATATTATAACATGTGACATATGCAAGCAAGAGCCCCTGCACCATTTCTGTAATGGTTGTGAAATCCGTTTGTGTAAAAACTGTGTCGTCACCCATCTAGAATCTGAATCTGTAGAGGGACATACTATAGTACAATACAAACATAGAGATGCCAGGAATATACAGCCTAAAGTGTGCCTCGATCATCCGTCAATGGCTAAAATATTATATTGCTGAAAATGTTTTGCCCAGATTTGTGTACGTTGTATTGCAGAGCATGGCGACCATACAGGTGAAGTTGTTGACTTAAAACAATTAGTAAATTCACAGTTTACAGAGATTGTTTAAAGTTCAGAACACCTTAATATTGAATTATTACCAAAATGTAGACAGAGTATTGAAAATTTGAGACAACTTTTGGAAGAAGTAAACACAAAATATGACAATGAACGTCAAAAAATACTTGACGTAGAAGATGACTTGCATCGTAAAGTAAAAGAAGAAGCAGATACTCTTATCCGTGAATTAAACAAGCAGAAAAAAGAAACAGTAGACATGCTTCAGAATATGATAAAAAATACCGAGGCAAACCTGCAAGAAATAGATCAAACAATAGATATGTTTGCGGCGGCTAAATCCTCTCTTGATGAAGTTTTGAAGTTCAACTTTGATGAAAACTCTTTAGAAATCGAAAGCAGTGTTGGGGTTACCTTTCTTCAGTTCAAGCCCCAGGGAAATTTCCCTGTTGGTTCGTTACAAAGGTACAGTTGTGTTTCTAAAGTTTTGTATCCACAGAACATTTCAATAAACCATAAAAGAAATGGATTTTGTCTGAGGATTAAATGTAGCCTTTTAAAAATATTTTTTAATAGTTCATATGCACACAAAACAAGCATAGCATTTAACAATATTATCAAAAATTGGATATGACGTATCTGTTCAGGCAAGTTGAACAGTAAAGAGATCTTTTCAGTATTTTGATTATAATATGAAACGTCCACTGTGAATATATAGAATGTTTTATTTGTTAAAAAAATTTAAAAGGGTAGAAATTAAGAAAATTATTCAAGTAGATGTTTGATAATGCAGAAAAAACTGTTTCTAATGCTAGGATATTTTATTTAATTTGATAAGGAGGCTTTTAGCTCACCTGAGGCTGAGGTGGCTTTTCTGATCAAAATTTGTCCGTTGTCTTTCATTGTCGTCGTCGTTGTCCTTGTAAACTTTTCACATTTTCATATTATTCTCAAGAATCACTGGGCCAATTACAACTAGACTTGCCACAAAGCATCCTTAGGTAATGGGGATTCAAATTTGTTATAATGAAGGACCACGCCTTCTTCCAAGGAAAGATAATTCAGAAATAGTGAACATTTGATGCTATGTTTTAAAAATCTTCTTCTCGAGAACCACTGGGCCAGGAAACATGAAACTCATGATGTGGAAGCATCCTCAGGTAGTGTAGATTCAAGTTTGTTCAAATCATGACGCCCGGGGTTAGGGCGAGGCCACAATGGCCGATCAAATTCTTATAAAGAATATAAAGAAAAAATCTTAAAAATCTTAAAAACTTCTTCTCCAGAACCATTGGGCCAGGAAACAAAGAAACTCATGTGGAAGCATCCTTAGGTAGTGTAAAATCAAGTTTGTTGAAATCATGACCCCCGAAGGTACCCTTAAAAACTATAGTTAACTAAAGTATTCTATAGTAAACTATAGTTAAATAATTTAATAAATAACCCTCACCCTTATCCTAATTTATAGTTTTTCAAAGTGTCAAATTCTTCGCCAAAGTTCTTCAAAGTGTCAAAGTTTTCGCCAAAGATTTTCAAAGTGTCAAAGTTTTCGATAAAGTTTTTCAATGTGTTAAAGTTTTCGCAAAACTTTTTCAAAGTGTCCAAAGTTTTTCAATGTGTCAAATTTTTCGCCAACGTTTTTCAAAGTGTCAAAGTTATAACTATAGTTAACTATGGTTAACTATAGTAAACTATAGCAAACTATAGTTAACTATAGTATTTTTTTTTTGGTAGGGCAAGGCAGGGTCTTTTATTTTATATAAAATCTTCTTCTCCAGAATCATTGGAACAGGAGAAATGAAACTCATGTGGAAACTCAGGTAGTGTAGATTCAGGTTTGTTTTAATCATAACCTCTGGGGGTAGAGCGGGGCCACAATGGCTGAATAAAGTTTTACATAGGAATTTATAGGTAAAATCATTTAAAAATCTTCTCAAAATTAGCAAAACCATGATTAGTGATATTAACATGGAAACATCTTCAGGTAGTGTAGATTCAAGTTCGCTCATATCATGACCCCTGGGGGTGTAAGGTCTTAATGGGCAATCAAAACTTTGCATTACAATATATAGGAAATTTCTTTTAAAATATTCTTCTCAAAAACTTTGAGCAAAGCCATGCCATGATTGGTGATATTTATTGAAGCATCCTCAGATAGTTTAGTTTCAAGATTGTTCAAATCAGAGTTCTTGGGGGTAAGGTGGGGACTCAATGTGGGATCATAGGAATATATACTAAAATATCTTTAAAACTTTTCTGGATAACACCAAATCCATGATTAGTTTTTCTTATATGGAACTCATGGAAGCGTGGTTTAGATTTGGGTTTGTTCAATTTCAAATTAAATTTTTAAGGTGTGGCCACAATGAGGGTTGAAATTTTTGCATGAGAAATACAAATATATAGAAAATCAAAAATTTTCTCCAGAGTAGAAAAGTTTTGTTTAGTCAAATTGACATGTAAGCATCTGCAAGTATTGAAGAGTTAGATGTATTCAAATAATGTCCGGAGGACGTGTTAGTGAGGTGTCACAAGGAGAGATCAAGACATATCTTGGAAAAATCTTAGAAAATCTTTTCTTTTCAAGTATGGCAAAGTTATACATGTATGCTTTATTGATATATTGACATTCTCAAGTAATAGAAAATTCAAACCCCCCTTCCCAAA